AAAAAAAAAAAAAAAAAAAAAAAAAAAAAACAAAACTGAAATGGGTTACAAGTTTTGAAATCTACTTTAGGCTCTCAGTGTTTCTTCAAACAATTACAGCTTAAAAAGAAGCGCCAACAATTTGCCTCTCCTCCTGGTAAATGGAGGACCCCAAAACACAGCTGTCAAATAATGCCCTGACTCTCAACCCTTCAAAACAGCACAGAGCGCAGGAACTCTAAAGGCTACTCCCTTTAACTCTAGCGTGTCCCTAATCACTAGAAGGCACTTGCCCATGCTACTGAGAAAGCTGCTGCAACCTCAATACTGATCCTATTTTCAGAGACTGCAACTGCAGAGGATGTATTAATCTCTATTTACAGGACACTGCTTCCAAAACCAGGAGGAAAGCTGTGATGTTCCTTCTAAGCCTTTTCCACTACACGATTAAAGACTACTTCCTTACATGTGGCCACTACTTTATGAGACTATTTTTTGGAAACCTTACCATTTTTGAGAGAGAAGAATACGTCTTTTTCCCACTCCTTCAACCAAAATCAGTACAGATTTGTTCCCAAAATGGGACTGGTTTCTGGCAAGTATCAAGCAGGCAGGCAGATAATTCATTATGTAGTGGACACCACTAGGCGTCTGATCATAAAGTTCTGACACTACTTCCAGGTCTATAAGATCACAACCCACAGATTGAGGGCTTAGCCCTCACACTGCTCCCCATTGACACGATGGTCACAAGACCAGGCTGTTTTACTTATGCTTCTGACAGTATACTACACACAGGGTTCCTACCATGCCCTCCTCAGATCTGATTCATCTGCTAGAGCAGCTAAGGCATAAGGAAATACCAGAAGATATTATGAGGGATGAACACTGGATGAAGAGACAACCAGGGCCAAGTATAAGGGAGGAACTTGGCACCTCTATGAATCACGAAGTGTCTGGCTGTCCCAGAGTTTCTCAAAATCAGCTCTCTGGAGTTTTTATAAAAGTTTTATCATGTAGGTATGATTGATCTTATCAATGCCAGCAACTTCTAGTCTCTCCTGTCCCCAGGATCAGGGGACAGGGGCTGAATGTCCTAATCCTATAGGAATGCCTTAGTTTTCTCATAAACCACTCCCACCCCCGTCCTGCCACCCTTCTCCCACCCCTACCCACTGGCCCAAGGGATCAGAGGCTACCAAGCAACTGCTAACCATAACTTACAAACGTTCACCTATCACTGATGATGCCAACCATTTTGGGATCTGTGCACCAAGAACTTTGGACAATGACAAAATGTATATTTCACACTATCATACTGTCCTATTTTAAATTACCCCTGAAATATTACTTTGTCAGTATCTTCCCTTGTGTTAGTCTATGTTTGTATGCGTGTGGGTCCATGTGGACCAGAGGCAGTCTCTGATTTTGTTTCTCAGGTGCCACCCACCTTTACTTATTTATTTAGATATGATATTTAATTACTTAAAAATATGGTCTCACAGGCCTAGAAGTTCCCAAGTAGGCTAGGCTGATCAGACATTTGCCTGTCTCTCTCCACAATGTTGAGAACCAATGGACCACATGCAGAACTTCAAAAAGAAAAACAAATATGTAGGTTCTAGGGGTTGACTCGGGTCCTGCCTTTCCTAATTGAGCTATTTCCCCAGACAGTCAATATCTTCTGAAAACTTAATAGCAAAAGAATGCAGCACTCCAGATACAGTCAGTCCAGGGCTGAGTATTAATAAATACAGCAAGGAACCACCTCGACTGACTGTGGGTAACTGTAGCACTCATGTAGAAATGCATTAGGATCCAGTGAAAAGAAACTCTAAGAGCCTCCGCAGGGCCACTTACATGAGTCTGGACCTCCCCTGCACTCTTCTTACATCAGCATTTGGACTTTAAGTTATTTTCATTTCTACTACTGAATTTCATACTTGCAAACTTTTTTTTTTTTTTCAGAGATAGGATCATCTCAAATCTGGATTTGGGCCTTTCAAACATTAGTCATCGATTTCAGTATAAAATATAAATGTACGTGGGAAGTAAATTATCCTACCCCAAGTATAGTTGGTGTGTTTCAAAAAACCACAGACCTACCTCTGCAGATTCAGGAAAGGCTCGGCAAGGTCCTTCTGTAGAAAGAAGTTTCTAGATGTTTCCATTCGAAATGTGTAGATGGAGGCAGAGGTTTCGCCACAGTACAGCTCCTTCTCTGCAGAGGAAAGTACTTTGCACAAGAAAAGGCTGAATTTCTGATCCCTGCCCAGCTTCAGATCACTACAGGTGGCAATGACTTGGGAGACGGTGGGTGGGACTTGATGTGTGGCCCAACAAGCTTGGCCCCAGGCCCGCGGAACCATTATATTCAGGGAGCTGGCTTCTAGTCGGAACTGCGACTCCGAAGGACGGGGTGGGGTGCGGCAGCTAGAGGGCGTAGTTCCGGGAGGCGTTTACGCGGTGGTTAGAGCTTTTCTCCCGAACTTTACGCCGGCGTCCCGGTTAGCGGGCAGACGGTTTCCGGCCCCTCAAGTAGGCTCAGGGAGTGACAGTGGGTAAAGGATGTTTTGTTCTCAACTGGATCAAAAGCGTTGTTCAGAATGCTGGCGTAACATTAACAATGTCACTATCCGATAAGCATTGATGGGGTCAAGTTCTGCCTTGGATACTTGTACACATCATTTCACTTAAGATTCATGAAAGCTTGGCATGGGAAAGCGAGTGGATGGATAGAGATTGCTATTTTCCTTAGAAAGAACGCTCTACGTTAAAGAGATTGCGTAAGTGACCCAAAGCCTCCCACCGTAGTTCAAAAGTAGCCTAGCCGGAATTTGGGTACAGTCCTCTGTAAGCAAGGCTTGGAGACTTGGGAGGTACCTAATCAATAGTTCATCTGATCAGCTCCTCCCTCACATTTAAGAACACTGCCCTGAAAGAAGTAATTTGGAATGATCTGGAGTAAAACTAAGTCTCTGAATCTTAGTTTCTTCTGTCTCCGATAATCCCTCCCCTCGAGCCAGGCACCACAACTCCTTTCTACAGACTAACGTACTAGTCCTGTCTGCTTCAGGGAGTAGCATTAAGATTCAGGGAATTATTTCATATAGTATGCTTAATAAAGTGTCTGGCAAAGTTGTGAGTGCTCAATAAGTATTAGCTGTATTTTGATCTATTTTTGCATGATTTGTAGTAAAAAAAAAAAAGCCACCACAAATGGTAAGTGCTCAAAATATCCAAAACATTTAAGTGTCCAAACAGGAAACAAATGAACTACATGAAGTCCAAGAGCAGAAAGACTATGCGGTCTTTCTCAGAAGAAAACGGAGATGAATGTGTGGTCAAAGCTATTTGAGGGAGAATTTTTACTATATATTTAGCTGTTGGTAGTATGTTAGAACTTAAATTGTTAATAAAATACACTAATGGTTTGTTCAAATTTCTTAATTACAAGGATAAAACTTTATTTTTTCCCCAAAAGTTAGTAACCTAATACTGGCTCTTTAAAGAAAAATGTGTGTGTCTTTGTGTGTGTGCGCGTCTTTGTGTGTGTGTGTGTGTGTGCGCGCGCATGCCAATGACTGTGTGCAGGCACATGTACATGAGTACATGTGGGCGGAAGAAAACCTTGAGTGACATCCTTGGATGTCATCCTTGAGTGACATCCTTGGATGTCATCCTTGAGTGACATCCTTGGAGACACCATCTACTTTCTTTGAGACAGGTTCTCTAATTGGCCTGCAGCTCACCAACCAGACCAAACTGCACCACCAGTGAGCTCTAGGGGTGCCTACCTCCTCCTCCCCATTGCTGGCATTTCAAGTGTGCACCCCCATGGCTGAGCCCTGCTGAACTAGTGCCAGCCTCACGCTTGTGAAGCCCCTTTTTTACCTTACTGACAGAACTCTCTGCAGACGAATGCTTGTCTTTTTGAGGTGAAAGATGGAACTGCAGGACTCTCGTACTATCTAGGGTTCATTTGTCACCATGAAGACACTTAACTGTTGTAAATTTCAGCACCAGGATGCTTCTGGGCAAATGATGGAATTACATCACTATGATCAAAAGTACACATTCTGTATAAAAGTGTTTGATGTTCTTAAGATGCTAAACCTCATAATCTAGGAACACACTATCCTTACAGTATCAGTTGTCCCCTTGATCATATGACTGACCAGGAGCAGTGGCTTTTTGTCACACTCCAGCATTTAGAGGAAATATTGTCATGCTTATTGGAGCCTTTTGAAATTTGAAGTCATCTCTACCGAATGGATATTTTTTGGTGTTATAAAATAGAAAAGTCATAAATGAGGTGGACATGGCTTTTTTTCTCCTCCTCTATGTCCACACACATACTCTTCCTACCCTTTCATTTTCCTTTGAGCCTTTCTTCTTGCTGTTACGTTTCTAAACAATACCCTACCCCAAACCCCCTTCAACATAAAGCCCACCTGTCCAGCCTGATATGATAGGACCTCCATGACTTTGACATTATATACCTGTCCACTCTTTTCCATTCTACCCACCTATTGACGAGCCTGTTTTTAATACACTCGGAGGCATTTCCTCATTTGTGTTGACTGTCAAGCTCCTCTTCATTCTTACTTATTTTTCAGAGATCATCAAGAAGCCTTTCTTCAGCTTTTATTCTGAATTAGTTGATTTCTCCCCTTGTTTTCATGACTTTCCTTGTTTACTTAAAAATACTAATTGAGTTCCAGATCATGTGGCAAGCTTAGGGAGAGGAAGCCCAGGTCGGGGATCGTTGTGTAGTGATCCAGGTAAATGTAGATGGCCTACAGTAACGGGCCACTACCAACTTGGACAGGAGCAGATCCAGGCAAATTTAGGAAGTGGGTGTGGATGGACTTGAGATTAAATTGTGAACCCAGACTCAAAGTGGGGGAAATAAAGGATGGGGCAGACTTCCCAGTTTGCTATCAGTTGTCCACACTTGATACAAGACCCTGTACATCAATATATTTAGTAAATACCTAATAAATGAGTGAGTTTTCTTGCTTAAGCACCGTTTCAGCTGAGGTGCTATTTTACTGACTTGGGTAACAGAGAGGTTCATTTGGGAGGTGAGTGATGGTTTCATTTTTAAATAGATCTACCTCTGGATGCCTGTTAATATCCAGATAATGACAATCAGTTACATGATGTGAAACTCATGGGACATCAGAGGTGAAGGTTTTTCATACCAAACAAACAAACAAACAAACAACAAAACCCACTTCATATCATCTTGATCTCTTTGTGTCTGTCTCCAAATCCTCCAGGCTCAATCCTAACATTCTAGGCTCCCCCGCATCTAGCCCAGTGTTTGTTATTGAATGGAAATTCTCTTAAGAACAATAACAAACCCCCTTTCTCTTTTTATTTATTTATCGTGTGTGTGGAGGTCAGAGAACAGCTTTCAAGAGTTGCCTCTCTCTTTCCGCTGTGTGAGTTCCAGGGAAGAAAAAGATTCATAGGGTTTAGTTGAGTGCCTTTACCCAGTAAGTCATCTTCTCAGCCCAAGAGCCTCTTTGTAAAAACATGGTGCCTCTAACACAAGAAAGAAACAGTATGTAGCCTCAAAAACATGTTTAAAAGTTAAGTACTTTGATTCTTTTTGCCCTCCTCATGTGTTCACATTTTCTATGATAAATAATGACAATATCCCATTCAGTTTTTACAATATGAAAGCAATATCCCAATATTTGATATGCAGTAGGATGTTGCAATACTGTCTGCTCATATTAGTATTTTGACTATGTTACATTGTGGCTAATTTATAAAATTCTGTGGTGGTATCTTTGATAACCTCATTCAGGTTACTTATGAATCATGAATAGCTGTTGCCTTAAAAATTATGACCGTCCATAAATAGCGGTCTGAAGTGAAATTTTAAAAATTCATTTTAGAGCCAGGCAGTGGTGGCACACACCTTTAATCCCAGCACTTGGGAGGCAGAGGCAGGCGGATCTCTATGAGTTCAAGGCCAGCCTGGTCTACAAGAGCTAGTTTCAGGACAGGCTCCAAAATTACAGAGAAACCCTGNAATAAATAAATAAATAAATAAAATCATTTTATATTAAGGATATCTGACAGAAACCTTTAAATTACTCATTATGAAGAAACAATGAATATAGGGATATATACAAAAGCATGAACATGTGGGAATATGATTCCACACTTATCAAACATCTCATGTGAGAGAAATCACCGGTGCATCTCACCGGTGAGCCATTTGTGGCTTGCTGCCATTACAGGTAACACAGAAAATACAGAACTCTTTATTCTTGGGTGTCCTAATATACTTTGAGTATATTTACTAGTTGATTTTGAATAAATAGGTAAGATGTTTAATTGTTTGTTATATTTTTGAATTAGCATTATAGCGTGTAATATCATATAAATAGCTGAAGCATAGCTACACTACAAATATAGCACAATTTAACATGGAAAATTCCAGTAGCATATGTGTGTGGTCATTATATTCGCTGGGTGGCGCTGCTGTACCGATTTTAACCTTACTGAGCCTTCCATTTCGGTTCATTTTAAATAAGCAATCAGACCTACAGTGATAAACATCGGACACAATGCTCTGGATTAAAAAAAGAATCTAAATTTATGGGCTTTAAAGTACACGTTTAGAGTCCCGGCTCAAGAAGTTAATTGGCATTGAATTCAGAGTGGTGTCTGCATTTAATTTTTCTTTAATCATTCCAGGCTTAGTAACCTGCTTGCCTCCTCAGCCGTGTTCATTTTTATTGGAGGTTTTGGAAATAGAGTTATCCATCTGAAATGCTCTAGGCAGTGTTTGTTTTCAGGATGGGGTAGTCTAGAGTTGTAAAACACCCAGCCTTTGCTGCTCATGATGAACTCTGAATAAATGTAAGGAAGCACAGATCTGACATCGTGCTCTAACCTCGTAGATACTTGCCTCAACTTTCACATGAAGCTATATTACTTTAATGTAGTTAGTAAGGGACCCTTCTGAATCAGCAGTCAAACAGATTTGACATCGTGAAAAATACCTGCTCGATATGATTATTAATTCAAACTTTTTATTCTGGTAAATTTCTAGTTTTGAATATGTGGTAATCTGTGGTGTTCACAGTATATCAAGGGAGCTGACAAAGATTTCTGTAAAAAATGTTAGAAATTAGTGTATTCTCCCAGCTGTGGTGGTGCTTGCCTTTAATTTCAGTACTCTGTAGGGAGAGATAGTCAGATCTCTATGAGTTTGAGGCCAGCCTGGTCTACGTAGTACCAGCCTGGTCTACATAGTGAGTTCCAAACCAACCAGAGCTATACAGTGAGACTTCCTCTCAAATCAAAAAGGAACAAAAACCAATATATTCTAATTTTAAAGTTAGTTATTTATGACAGAAGTTCTTATGTCCA